GTCCCAGATTCTTCCAGAAAGTGATTAATATTGCATTAGAAGAATCTGTGAGTACATGGGTTGTCATCTACTATCTTGGTTTCTATTAGAGTGAAAAATATACTTGCACTGCATTTGGAATTATCCGTGTCTTCTTTTCTGCCCTAGTCTCCTAGGACCAAATTCTGCCCTTAGGAAGCTGACTGAATATCTTAGGGACTTGGATATTACATTAATCATGGAGTGCAGAATTGGATCCCAAAATTAAGTTGGAATACAGCTGCAAAAATCCTCCTGTCACAAATAGGATTTACATTTGCTAAACAGTTCAGGACACCTGCAGATAGGCTTTGTATTGTGTAAGTGAAAGGATGGATGTCTGGAGTCCATGCAGGTGAATGGCGACCCAAGTTCTAGTGAAACAGAAATCATCATAGTGGCCTATTTGTACATACAGTAAATGGACATAATTTATAAGGAGTCAGGTATGTTTCACTGGGGATCAGGTAAAAACAATTCCTCCTATTCAGCCAGATAGTGGTGCAACTTATTCCAGTTAAAGCTAAAACAAGTCTTAGGACTAAACAGAGGATCGTACAAAGAGATCCAGAGTGGTAGCTAGAGAGAGCCAGACTTGTTTGGCTTATTTTGGACATGTTGATGTGCAAGTTTATTACTAGTGGAGTTGGAAGAGCATTTCACAGAGGATGGGAGGATACATATAGTTATGGAAGAAGCAGGTTTCATGATCTCACCGTATAGTACTACACAAGTTTCAAGCACTCAGACAGAAGACAGGCACAAATCTTTTATTTCACCAATACCTAAGACTAAATCTTCTGCCAAAATCAATGGCTGCGTCTAGACTGGCATAATTTTCCGCAAATGCTTTTAACCGAAAAGTTTTTTCCGTTAAAAGCATTTGTGGAAAAGAGCGTCTAGACTAGCATGGACGCTTTTCCACAAAAGCACTTTTTGCGGAAAAGCGTCCGTGACAAAAGTGCTTTTGTGGAAAAGCGTCCATGCTAGTCTAGACGCTCTTTTCCACAAATGCTTTTAACGGAAAAAACTTTTCGGTTAAAAGCATTTGCGGAAAATTATGCCAGTCTAGACGCAGCCATTGATTTTGGCAGAAGATTTAGTCTTAGGTATTGGTGAAATATCAAGGATCTAGTGTTTTAAATGGAGTGGTCAAGAGTTTGACTAATATCCCCTTCATTGTATGAATTCACCCCTTGTTCTAGGTTTCCTCTAGTATTGGTCTGCTTAGATTCTAGTGTCTTTGGGCTAGAGAGAGCAGTCTAACTGTATGCCTGAAGACTGTCTGGCACACTTTTGGGCACCATATAATAGTAATGTCTTAACAGTTGGTTCCTAACACAAATACCAATTTAGATTATACTTTTATGTAACAACTGCTACTGTATATTCGAGGAATATCACTTGCAGTTGCCACCCTGGAAGCTGGAATAAGGGGGAAATGTCACACATTAAGACAGACATAAGAGAAGAGAACTGAAAACAGCTGTGGAAATAAACTGGGTCTCTATGAACACTTAAAAAAAAAAACTGTCATTTTCTCCTCTGTATACCTATAGCGAGGCTCTGCTTGAGGCAGTGCAGAAGGGTGCAAATGAGTATGCCCCCAGCATGCCAGCTGTTGCAGTATAGCTAGATATGCTCATTTCATGTCATGTAATATTTATGTTTAAAAAAAGCTTCATTGAGAGTGGGTACCTCCCTGGGATTTCATTGCCAGAAGCAGCAAGAGCAAATGTGTTCTCAGGGATTCCAATTACCAACTCAAATTGTAGCATGGTGAATTAAAACCCACAGTTCAGAGCAACAGGGTGCAGCGGCAATATCCCTACCCTCTTCAGCCACCCTGCTGCCTCTTCTTCAGCAGAATTAAATGGTTAGAGATTCATTAAATGGATCTGAGAACATTAACCTACCAGCTCTGCTGACCAGACTGGACTTGCATGGGGGTGCGCATTGGTGAGAAATCAGATTAGTAAGAGATGTCTCCGAAGATGCAGTGAAATGTTTTGTGGGACAAGACAACCCTGCTGTGAAATACTGTTCTCTTAGCCATACCTTGCTGGGAAAGCAAATAAAGCAGCATTACTTGTCACTGTACAAATTTACCATATCACTAGAATGCACCAAGAGAATTAAACTTATGTTAATGATGGCACTGTGCTTCAATTCTGATGACCACACATGTGGAGGGTGCACTTCTGAATTAATGAACAGAGCCACAGTCTTGGCATCAAATTTGGGGCAGCACAGAGTTTAGGGCATCTAATTCACTGCACTCAGTTTTGTAAGAGTAAAGTACTTGAATACTTGCATCAACTAAGTGATTGGTCAGATGTCTATCTACCCAGTTTCTAGCAGCAAATGTAATTTCTTGGGTAAGTCTTAGATGCAAGGTTTTGGTTTTACCAGAGTAGAGTCTGATTTTAAGATGTCTATGTGGTTTTACCAGACATCTGTTACTAATCAAAAGAGACTTGGGGTGTAATTGTACCACCTCCCTCACTTTGGTGAGCACTTGTGCTTATAGGCCTCTAGGCATGGGAAACCTTTCCCCACACTATTGGGTCCTCGTTTGTTTTCAGGGTAGATTTTTCAAAATTCGCAGAAAAAAGTGTATTGCTACACAAGTACAAAAAGTTACTTAAATTCTCCTCGTGAGTACCTCAGTGGTTCTTGGACCTGTTGGAACAGGAGTGAGCAAAAAAAGGGGAGGGACAACTGTCACTAAAGTCAGCTGGTACACTGAAGACTATTTCAAAATACCTTTACGGTGTGCAAGCCCACAATGTGTGATCAACACCCCGAATATGCCCTTGTATGGACTAGGTTTCATCCTGCCTTCTGAAAAGAGACTGACATTCTGGGGGCACAAAATGGGTCTTTGTCTCCATTGTACACAACATCTAGAAGACAAATTTGAATCTTCAAAAATATTCTTAAAGCACACTGTGTCTTAACGTTATAAAATCTACACAGTGACTCAGAAAAGCTTGTGGCCCAATCCTGCAAGACGGCTCCATACCAAGTATACAGCACAGCCAAGGGGAAAATGTGTACATTATTTGCTGTAGAACTGGATTCTTTGCTGTCCTGAGCAATTGTGGGCCCTGTGCAAATTTACTGAAGACCATGAGGTTACACAGATGGGCTTTGTCTACACTTCAGGGTTTTTGCACAAGAGATCTTCCACAAACTTCTTGTGCAAAAGTGTCCACATCTCAAAAGTGCATTGATAAAGCAGTGTGCTTTTGCACAAGAGAGCATCCACACTGCATGGACGCTCTTGTGCAAGAAAGCTCTGATGGCCATTCTGTGAATGGCCATTAGAGCACCTGTGCTTTTTCTAATAGGCTCTTTTTGCACAAGAAACCCCTGTGGCGAGTCACACCTGCCTTGTTTGCACAAGAGCTGTAGCTCTACCAGCAAAAGCCCTCTGTCCTGTTGATTTACTGTATTTTTTGTACAAAAACATGCTTCAGGTGTGGACGCTCTGGCCATTTTTGCATAGAAATCTTGGAGTGTAGACATAGCCATGCAGTTAAGTCTGAAAAGTTGGCCCTCTGAATATTTTTCATTTAGCAACTTTCTGAAGTTAGTAATGATCTCAATCTGGAGACACAAGCTTGCTGCACCAAGATCATTTTCCTGAAGAAGCATGGCCATGAATCCTCTGATGTTTTTAAACCATGAATACACTACCAGAGAACCTGGATATAGAACAGAAGAAATATTAAGAAGTGTACCATTAATTAGAGCTGGGTGGCTTACGGGATTAAAGATTTACTTTCATCCATTGGACTTGAGGGATAAATTAGCAATGAGCAGAAAGTTTAATAAAACCTGTGAATCCTCATGAGCTTGCTGACATTAAACCCAAAGCAGGCATTGCTTTTATTTTAGACAGTCAACACAAGAGAGACATCTGAAATGCACTCATTAAGCATGCTACTCATATGATTGGTTACGAAGGAATAAAGGAAATCCCAGGTCTGTTCCCAGAGGCCCACAAATGAATTAGTTCTCTCATTTCAAATTTGCAATACAGTCTCTTAAATAGGTCTTTCACCACCCAAAATGAATATGCCTGGTGTGACTGAGGTGTTGCCTAGCAATGTTGGGTCCAATACAGCAATGATTCTCAGCCCCGCAAGACTCCTGTACACTTATTTGTCCCAAATTTCACCTCACTTAAAAACTCTGGTCTTGGCTCCAATCTTGCTGAAGCCGAAGTCTCACTGTGCTTTCCGCCCTGGGTCTCAATTCTCAACCAGTTGAACACTGCCCCTCACTGTCAGTGGGCCTGCCAAAGAGGGCAGCTGCCTCTTGGCCAAGTGATACAAGAGGGCCCAGAGCTCCCTGCCACCACTACTGCAGCTGTGACAGGAGCCCTGGGCCCTTGAAATTGCTGCTGGTGTGCTCTGCTGAGTGCTCCAGGCAGCTCTGAGGGCTGGGTGGGAGGTGCAGTGCTCTCCAGGCAGTGCCCCACCCCTTATGAGGGCATGGAGCAGGGCCTCCTTATCCAGGGATCCAGTGAAGCTGTCAGCCCCCCTAAACACTGGTGACCCTGATGACTCCATTAAAATGAAGTTGCCCACATTGAGATACTTTCATATAGTGAACTGTTTAGTTTGCACTGACTTTGCTAGTTCTCTCTCTGTAGCCTTTTGAAAAGCTAAGCAAATATCTAGAGGAGTTGATGTACCCCCTGGAAGAACTCTGCGTATCCCCAGGAGTACACGTATCTCAGTTGAGAACCATAGAAATACTGCACATAGAACTATTACAGTGAGGCTCATAGCCCAGTCATCTGGAATAAGGAGATGTTTGCAAGACCTTGCTTGTGAGGCTACATTTTAATTGGAAAGGTACAGTAACTATCAGTTAACTGTCACACAAAGCTTTCCCTATGTAAATAAGATGAGAATGCAGCTAGCTCTGTGCAAAGAATACAAATTAGGACTGATGGGGGGAGACTTTACCCATTGTGCTCTTTGCTCAGGACATGGCCACAGCTGCAGTCCTGGAGGACGGTCCACAGTGAGTGCTGTTGAGGTGGCTCACCTGCCCTAAAAGGAGCCGGGGAGACACAAAAGTCAGATGAGTCCGTATCGCATTATAGATGAAAGCATACACCGATGCTCTTCACAAGGAGTGGCTGTGGCAACATTCTCTAGGAACTCCAGGAACCCTGGGTCTCCTGTAGCTGTGCAGCTCCACACCAACCTGATTAGGGCCAGGACCTAAGGATTTACTAGGGTCACTTAACATCTCACCAACACCTGGATGTTGAAGTACAGCAGGATAGAGACCCCTTTTGGTGAAGATTGTCATTATTTCTTTTAACACTGTCATGATTTCTTTTAACACATCAAATGACTAACTGTAAGCACTACAGTTCTCATGTTGGGTCTATCATCAGTGGCAGCCAAACACACCTTACAGGACTCAGCTCGGCACTGGGCGGATCCCTGTACCAACAGAAGCTCTTTGCAGGATCAGAGCCTTAGACATTTGTTCCCCTTTGCCTATCTCTTCCTTTGATGTAGGGAGAGTAGACTTAAGTCCATTACATAGTATATTTTCTTTCCAAAACACATTAGAATATTGATAGTGAATGACTCTGCCTCTATGTTGCTTTTCTTATCATTCTGTGGGCCTCCAAGGGTATGTATAGACTACATCCTGTCTCAAAAAAAAAAAAAAAAAGATGTAAATTAGACACTTTGAAATAAAAAGTGAAGCTGTTGCTTTTCTTATCATTCTGTGGGCCTCTAAGGGTATGTATAGACTACATCCGGTCTCAAAAAAAAAAAAAATGTAAATTAGACACTTTGAAATAAAAAGAGAAGCCAGGATTTAAATTTCCCATGCTTCACTTGCATAATGACGGCCACTTTTTTCCAAAATGCAGCTTTGAGAGAAAGCCAGCAGCTTAGTCTGGGATCTTTCAAAAATAAACCCTTTTTTCAAAAGATCTTGTACTCCTCAAAAAATGAGGTTTACGGGATCTTTTGAAAAAAGGGTTTTATTTTCAAAAAGATCCCCATCTAAACTACAATTTTTCCTATCGAAAAGCCACATTTTGAAAAAACCACGGCTGCTGTTATGCAAATGAAGTACAGGAAATTTAAATCCCAACTTCATTTGCAATTTCAAAGTGTCTAATTTACATCCCTTTTTGGAGAAAAAGAATGTAGTCTAGACACACCCTAACTGATATCCTGAAAGGTTAATGAAAGCTTCATTCTTATATAGTTTTGCTATTTAAGACAATAGTTATGTTTCCACTTATGCAAGGTAAAAGTGATTTGATGTTTTCAGAGTGGCCAAACTCTGCAGCTCTTGCTGTTTGCAACATTTTTCAACAACCGCCATACTATTCAGCTTGTATGTATTTGGATCTGAAGTAGTATAAAAAATTTCATTACATGCATTATGTATTTTTGGTGATGTACTTGTTTGAGGTTTTCCATTACATTTGCATTGTTTTTTCAGAGTTAGCTCATGTTACCAATACAACTAGTTTTTTTAATTAAGAAGGTGAGATTTTCAACTGTTTCATCAACCAGTTCTCTGAATAATGCAATTTTCTGTAACGATAGCTTGAAGAGGTTGCTGCTATCTATGGACATTAAAAGTTAGTAGCATATAGAATTTGAAAACCATGGAACTATGAAAAGGAAGACCAGACTTATCTTGGACTCCAAAGCACTAAATTTCCAAGTAGAGATAAAGATAGCTAGCTTAGCTTTACTATTGGAAGGCAATACAGATTGACACAACAGAACCATCAATTAGTCATAAATAAGAGCACTTTTCATGGACCTGATCGCTTGTGATATTGGAAAGGAAGTAAAATAATCAATAAAGAACAGTTGTACTAGAAAGTTACTGTTCTACCAAAACATATTTGTCCAAATAAATGGCATCAGTAATGTACATTCAGAAGACTGCTTAAAAGCTATTTTATATTCAAAGGAGACCCCCCCATCACCACCACCACCACCACCACCACCAAAAATCACATGCTCCCACATAGTAGAATTTAAAAAGAACAAAACCAAAAGCCCAGGAAACTTACCTAGAAATAATGCAGAATCACAAAACAACTTTAAAAACACTTGATGACAGCTATACAATACAAGTAATCATTGTTCTTCATCAGCAGAGAGGGAGAGCACAAGCTCCTGCCTTTTTCCTTTCTCCTTGTGGCTTTCTTCCCCTGAGGCTTTTCTGCACCTCCAGGCTAATTAGGTAGCAGCTGTCTCTGCTTCCCCAATTAGGGTTAGCCCTCTCTAATAGATTCCCCTAACAAGGAGGGGGTGAGACAGAGGGCTGAATCAGTAACCCTTTGCCCAGCACCCTATCTCATACATACAGGCCATGATCCTGCAACTAGTTATGCACTTAACTTCAAATATTTAATTAGTGTTTCTCATATGTATATATATATATATATATATATATATATAAAAACTCATGGCAGGCTCAGTTCCTTATCCACGATGAAATGGATAAATTTTTTAACCTCGAGAAAGTTCAAAAGTAAAAAGAGGTGTAAGTAATGCAGATTTTAGGCACTACTCCTATTCATGGAACATTTAAAGAGATTTATAGACTCCAAACCCAGAAGAAATCATTGTGATTATCTAGTCTGACCTACTGCATAACAGGCCGTAGAATTCCCTCATTCCCCAAATAATTCAGACAGCAGATCTTTGACAAAAACATCTAATATTGATTTTAAAGAATGCCAGCAACAGAGAATCCCCCACAACTCCTGTAGTTAACTACACACACTTTTATTTTCTGTTTCAATGTGTCTAGCTTCAAATTCCTGTGATGTTATACTTTCCTCTGTTAGAATAAGCACCTTTTTATTAAATATTTGCTTCCTATGTAGGTGCTTATAGACTGTGATCAAGTCACCCCTGAATAGATTGAGCTCCTTGGGTCTGTTTCCGAATCCTTTAATCATTTTGGTATCTCAGTCTGAACCCTCTCCAATTTATCACCATTCTTCTTGAACTGCAAACCCCAGAACTAGACAGAGTAGTCCTACAGCAGTCACACAAGTGACAAACACAGAGTTAAAATAAACACTCTGTACTGCTACTTATGGTTCTCCTGCGTGTTCATCCAAGAATTGCACTAGCCTTTTTGACTATAGCCTTGCACTGGGAACTCATAAACAGCTGATTATACAGCATGACCTTCAAAGTGTTTTTAAAGTGTCTGCTTCTCACATTTATCATTCCTGTCATGATCATTTTAAATTTTCAATTTTAATCTTCTTATACTTTTGTTGCTAGCACTGAAATCAATGGGAACAGGATTGGTTTTACTGGAATAATGTATCAACATTGTAGATCAATTTGTTGCATGCTATTAATCAATGAGTTTAAAGGATATTTAAGGATCCAAACTTGTGTACCTGCATCCAATCAATGGGGGCACGTCTACACTACAGGACAGAGTTGAATTAAGATACTCAACTTTAGCTACATTAATTGTGTAGCTGAAGTCAAAGTACCTTAACTTGGCTTTTGGGTGTGTCTAGACTATATCCTTCTTTCGACAGAGAGATGTAAATTAGGCACTTCGAAAGTGCAAATGAAGCCGGGATTTGAATTTCCCGCGCTTCATCTGCATAATCGCGTCATGGCGCTCTTTTGAAAAAGTGCTATTTTGAAAGTAAAACTGCAGTCTAGACATGGTTCTTTTGAAAAGGTAAGGCTTTTTCAAAAGATCCTGTAAACTTCAAAAAATGAGGTTTACAGGAACTTTCGAAAAAGGCTTCCATTTTCGAAAGGACAGCGTCTAGACTGCGGTTTTACTTTCAAAATAGCGCTTTTTCTAAAAAGCGCCGTGACGTGATTATGCAAATGAAGCGCAGGAAATTCAAATCCCAGCTCCATTTGCAATTTTGAAATGCCTAATTTACATCCCTCTGTCGAAAGAGGGATGTAGTCTAGACGTACCCTTGGTGCAGTCTACACAGCAGAAAGTCGAAAGAAGAATACTTTTCCTTTGATTTCTCTTACCGCTCATAAAAGCAGGGTTACCGGCATCTACCAGAGTGCCCCTCTCACTTTGAATTAGCTGTTTTAATTCACATCTACCAGAGTGCCCCCCTCACTTTGAATTAGCTGTTTTAATTCGAACCCTGAAAGATTGAGGCAGCTTCAATCTTCCTCTGTAGTGTAGATATACCCTAGGGGTACATCTACACTGCGGTGTCTTGCACAAGAACGTATGCAAATTAGATGTGGTGATGAATATCGCCGTGCCTCATTTGCATACTTAATGAGCCATCATTTTTGTGCAAGGGGCTTTTGCAAAAGAAGGAGCAGTCTACACTACTCCTTCTTGCACAAAAACCCCTTCTTGCGCAAAAGGCGAGAGTCAACGATCAATACAAAACACAGTCTTCTCCTGCATTGGTAACATGTCTTATCCGCTGCATTGTATATACTGGTATTGAAAGCTGAACACAATATTTCACCATTAGTATGTTTATCATAGATAGTGGTGTTATAAAAAAAAATCAGAGCTGAAACTAGGGCATTATAAAAATGAGTAGTCCTGTGGTACTTAACAGATTCTCTAAAAGATTCCACAGGACTACTCATTGTTTTTAAAGTTACAAATTAAGATGGCTGCCCCTCTGAGACTTTTTAGGACATCATGCTTCATTTTGAGTAATAAGAGTTGAAAGAACAAGACACAAAGCTATAAAGTTGATCATTGTTTCATTCAAATGATAGGATCACCCATCTGCACAATCTTTTATTGCAGTACTTTGTCAACATGTTATTTTCCTTACTGCATCAGGGAAAAGAAACTTCCATTAAGCCAGCCGTCCCCAAAAGGATAACCAGGAAAGCAACTGTTCTGAAGCAAAATTCTGCATTTGCCTTGGTAAAGAAAGCAGAGTAATTTCAAAGCCTTCATTATTGGCTGTTGACTATCATTATTGCTGTTGTTTTAAATGGCATTTTTTACAAGAAGTCACATGTCTCGTTAAACAAATGCATCATTCTATGCAACTTCTGGATCACTACCTTTTCCTACTTAGGAGGAGACTTGAGTGTGAAAAATTTTGTAGCATTTTAAAATATCATGACCTAAATTGGCTACATGATTACATAATCTGAGCAAAAATAGATTAATCTTCCTGACATCAATTTTCACAGATATTGCACATCCTACATTTCTATCCAAATCAGTTGGAATTGTAGGGGCTCGGTACCTTAGGATTTTACATAGAAAATAACCTTACAGTGGTGAAGAAATCTGGTAGCCCAATCTTTTTCACTGCCCAGATCCCCATTTAGGAGAACCTTACAAAATCAAATATATTCCCAGGAAGGAAAGAATTAAATACGTTGTTATCTTATGCCAACAAATACAGATGTAAACTGAGATTCCTCTTTTGTTGACACAGTTCATAGATTCCAAGGTCAGAAGAAACTTAAAAAACAACAAATAGTCTAGTTGCACCTTAAAGAATAACAAAACATGTAGATGGTATCATGAGTAACCACAAAAGCTCATGATACCATCTACATGTTTTGTTAGTCTTTAAGGTGCTATTACACTATTCGTTGTTTTTTAAGTTTTTCCTGTTACAGACTATCATGGCTACCCCTGCGAAGGTCAGAAGAGACCATTGTGAACATTTAGTCTGACCTCTTATATAAAATATCCTATGGAACTTCACCAAAATAATTTCTAGATCATATTTTAGAGCGGCAAATCCAATCTTGATTGTAGAATGTTTGGGGAATGTCTACACTACAGAGTTTTGTTGGAAAAATGGCTGTTTTTCCAACAAAACTTCACTTAGGTCCACACTGCAATTGCATTCTTCCACAGGAAAATTGAAAGAACGGAGGGGTTTTTCCAGCATTGGTAATCCTCATTCTATGAGGAAGAAGCCTTTTTGCAAAGAGCTCTTTCGGAAAAAAGGAGTGTGTGGACGGGGAAGAGGGAATTCTTTTGGAAGAAGAGGAAAGAGGGAAAAGCACAGGTGCCCTGGTGGCCATTCCATCCATAGTAATCACAGCTTAAATGTGAGAGAGCGTCCATTCAGTCTGGATGCTCTCTTTCAAAAAAGGAGATCACTTTTTCGATGCACTTTCACAGTATGGACATGCTCTTTCGGAAGAAGTTTTTTCAGAAGATCTCTTCTGAAAAAAGCTTCTTCCAAAAGAAGCCTGCAGTCTAGACATAGCCTCAGTGAGGGAGATAGGCACTGGAATTAAGGCTGTGGGGCTGTTGCAGTCTAGCACCCATGAGCCTGGCTGCCTCTCTGCATACCACGGAGCTCTGCTTCAGCCCCACGCATTGTGGCCCTGCACGCCAGGACTTTGCTCCCAGCTTCAGTTTTGGGAGGAGTGGAGAGGACGGGGGTAAAGAGTTGGTGAGGGAGAATGCACCAAGCTATATGGTAAATTGTTGCAATGGTTAATTACTCTCACTGGTAAAAATATATGCCTTATTTCCAGTCTGAATGTATTTAGCTTCAGCTTTCACATTGTATCTTTCTCCACTAATTGAAAAGCCTGTTATTAAATATCTGTTCCTTGTGTAGCTACTTATAGATTGCAATCAAGTCATCCCTTACCCAAGTCATCTGGTTCTTTGTTAAGTGAAATAGATTGAGTTCCTAGCATTTGTCATAAAGAAGGTTTTCTAATCCTTTAATCATCCTTGTGGCCCTCCTTTGAACCCTTTCCAATTTATCAATATCCTGAATGAATTCAAACAGTCCAAAATTATGTTTGACATGTAAAAAAATTTTAAAGATGTTATTTTGGCTCCCATCTTTCTCTTAAAATTATTAGTATCTACGGGCCAGATATTGACACCCTTATTTATTTGGCATGGATTTTGCAAAAAAGTGGAACTTGTGCTTTAACTTTAAGTAAGTGGATGTGCTAAATGTGCTAAGTATGTGCAGGAACTGGGCATAATGGTACTGCTATTCAACCCCAGCCCATGGCAGAATCTGACCCTCTGCATGTTGTTAGGTTACAAGTACTTGTAGAGGCAACTACCTTCCTAGACATGGAAGGAAACAAGAGTTAGCTCCCCTTATTCTTGCCACTGGAGGAGAGAAAGCACAGAAGCCAGTATAAGTTAATGAAAGAAAAATGTGATCTAAGCAATATCAAAAATAAAACA